AACAAGAACAATAAATGAAAATTTTTAATGCTTATAAACCAAAAAAAGTGTACCTAATGAGTGGCACTGATAAACTGATGACTGGTGCTGGATTCTAAGCTTCATTTATTCGTTCATTCAACCTTCCATAGGTTCTATCTGTACATGAATTTTTGTTGAGTGACCGACCACTTGCTCTTATGTGGAAAAAAGTTTTATTCGAGCTATGTAATATCTATTTGATGTCTAGCTAATGGGAAGCCCCTATTGTTTCGCTTTCCTCAAAGCTTCTCTTTCTTGAAGCAGTAGTAAGTGCCGTTCTTCCTCGATACTATTCATAAATTTCTCATGGAATTTATTGAACGTCGGATCCTGAATAGGCCTGAACAGTTCATTTCCTGCCTTCTGAAAAGGTATGTGCTTTTTATGCAGGAAAAATCAATCGTTGTGGTTACTATAACGTATTGCTTCTCAACCTACCCAACTCTAAACTTCTTCAAGGAATGAGGGGCGGCGTTGGCAGGAAAAGTCAAAAATATGGTAGTAGCGTAGGGATTTCAACTTGATTTTTGTGGAGGCTTCTTTAGTCTGGTGGCTCTTTTTTTTCATTACTACGCTGGGGCACCGACTACGAGGGCTACCCTGAGATATGGTTTTACGCAGCATCAGCCAACAATTTTTAAACCTATAAGGGAGACTCATTGGTGGGGATACAAAAACAAGTCCCTTCCGCAAAAACTGCAGATGAAGCTGAGGTTTCAAGAGTGATTACCTACAATTCTGGAAGGGCAACGGTTGCAAATGAAGAGATGACTGCAAAGTTATGAAAGTGGGTGGGGCTGGTGTTAGTGACTGTGACTGCACAATGTCAGAATACGGTTCTTTCTGCAAAGGAAATTCCAAAAAATGAAATTTACTGGAACAGCAATTTGAATCTTTCCGAGAGGTTGCTACTTATCTAGGCAGTTCTCACTCGCGCTCAATACAAATTAACTGTAAGGCACTATATATGACAAAAAATACCACCTTCCACTTTCTCATCAACATTTTGGCATACAGTTTTTTAAAAAATTGCGCTGAATTTACTGAAGAGAGGTTCTTAAGAACTACTCTGTGGCTTAAGCTAAGTAAACGGCCAATACTTTTAAAAAAGGAGCTCTCACGACTACATAAATGTTGGTAAAGAAAAAAATCAGTCAGCCCTCAAAGAAACTAAATGGATGGTTAAACTCTATAACCCAATTTGTCTTGAAGTTTAAAGGAAATTTAGAAACAATTTCTTTGGATTCTTGGAGTAAAAAACTAGATAAAAAACAGGAGAAAGTTTGTTTCTTTGCTGAACTAATAAGTCAAAATCATTTATGAGCGGGTTCATTTTTAATTTGATAGGAAAGTTCTTACACGACCGGACCAAATTCACAGCGAAGCAATCGGCTAGCAACTTATGAAAATACTAGCTTGATCCTAAACTGAGCGATGTTCATCTAGTTTATTTTTTAAAAACTGTGGGATTTTTTTTCCTGGACATCGTTGAATTCCGTAAAATTATGCCTACCTGGTTTTCGCTGTCTTATGTTGACCTTGAAAGCCGTCCAGACCTTCCAAAATAAGTGAATTTAAAAAAGACCCAGCTTAGACTTAAGGCGGCGTTTTTTCCAGCAGCCAGCAGTCAGCAAAAAAAAGTACCGTATTCCCCTGCCGTCCCCCAACACACACGGAAAAAAAATAACAGTGGGTTCTCCTATGTTCATAAGTTTCTTTCACTTCCTAAATTCCAGTAGGGAAGCGGGCTATTTTTGTACTGAGAATACAAAAAATAATGAACGTTGATTCTCTTCCTTTGATTCTCTTTCTTCACTGACTTCCTTTTTTTTGAATTTTTCGTTTTTTTTCACCATTATTTCTAATGCATTCCCACTCGATAAAAAATTGCGTTTCTTAACTTCCTGACTTAAAACTGTATTTTTTTCATCCAGTTGTTTGGCAAACCCTCTATTTTTTTTAAAATCTTTTTTATCTCCTGTACAGTTTGAAAAAAATAACAAATTTCTGTAAATACGAACATAATTATAACAGTAAATAAGTTAAAAAGTATCTGTCAGAAAGAAAAATCCTGTTACATTTCTGCTAATATCTGAACAGAAAATGGACGGAAAAGCGAAAAATTTGGAACACAAAGAGTCCGAACATTCGTGAACGAAATGACAATGATAACACATCATGCACACGACTAAATTAAAGGTTTAGCACACCTTTACCTTTGCAAAAGTCAGTTGGATAGCCCCTTCCTACCTTCGTGAAACACAGCGGCACTGAACCAAAACCGTTGTAGTTCCTTCAGAAGAAGGCTTTTCCGCCCGCAAAAATTTTTACATCAAATAAGAAATGATCCTCGTATACAATTCTGTCGAAAATTT